TAAGCAGTTCAAAATATCACTAAAGACAGTTGTTCTGGTTCGGACAGTCTACCTTGCGGATTAATTAATTCCTATTTCAAGTAAATGCACCTTCACCAGTCATTCCTTGGTCAGATCACCACTTAATCAACATGTTTCAGCTACACAGTAATTAAACTAGTGCAGCAAGATGCTGAGACACAGTTTGCAATAAGTGTCTGACTGTACGCGGACACTTGTCTGATTGAAAGAAAAATCTGTACCGATATTTGCACATGTGGCCTCTATCTGAGTGTGCTGTTGCCAGCACTGCTAAAAAATGTTAGGCTCACTGTAGTTATGTGTCTGATTGCAGTGCATAAACTAACATGCACTTAATCATGTAAATTAAACTGTCAGTACAGCATAAATAGGTATCTTGCATAAGAAGACAGAATAGATAAAATTATTTCATGTACTTATTTATTATATACATGTGTATGCTACATGTTTGTTCCATAAAAACACAAACTTATCTTCTTGAATTGGGTTGCTCTAACGTGGATCCATGTTATGAAGTTGGTAGCTGTTATTGTCTAGCATATATAGTAAAAAGTAAAAAGTAAAGCTATCCCTGTAATAGGCCATGAAGGCCCATAGGATTGTGAGACGTGGATCCCACATTATCTAGACAATCAAGTCAAAGATGGCGGTAACATTGTCAGCCTTATGCGCTGGCCGCGCTTTACTCCCCAGGAAAATTATTTAATTAATTCCTGGTACTCAATTCTGTTAGAGGCTGAGTTGACCCCAGGGCCATAGTATGGCTGGAACGATTAGGTCAATTGAAAAAATCCAATGACCTCATTGGGACTTGAACCTGTGACCTTCTGGCTTGTAGCATAGCCCCTCAACCAGCTACGCTATTGTGTACCCCGTCTAGCATATATATCATTGGATAACGTAAACAATTTTGTGTGTAAAGTCTTCATGTTACAAGATTGTTATAAGTAGTTAGGGATTAGTAAAATATACTATTTATTCATAGAATGTGTCCTAAAATTGATATGAAAGTTAAGAGTTGAGATGAAAAGTTAAAATGAGTCTGTAAGGCACAATCACTTCAAATTACATGCTTTAGTTCTAAGTAAATAACTGTATAGAGTGGTCATGTAGAGTATTAATTTTTGTGGCCAGTTTCCATCCTCAGGTTTTAGGATAAGATAAGGAATCCTCACCCAGTTACCCTCCCTCCCCCAGCCGTGGTTATCCTGTCATTACCAGGGAAGCAGAATGACTTTACCAAAAAGCATGGTTTGTAGAGACTTGGGGTGTTCAAAATATCTAGTGAGAAGATCATTCAAAAAGTACATCTGAATAGTCAACCTGTAGAAGGGTTATAATTAATGGTCATGCACAACAGATCACTGTGGGTGTGGTGCAAGGACCAAGAAGTCCCACCCCTTGCACATTCATTCATTCTAGCAAGCATTATTTGAATGCTACTATTTGATTGACAGTTCTGGAGAGGAGATTGTTATCACGACTGATGTCGGAATGAGCCAGGAAGATGCAACAGATGGATTCCCTTCCCACTTTCTGTGAAGACATACTGAGTGGAAGGTATGTAACTAACACATGAGATTATGTAAGATTTGAGGCTTTCACGGCGGTGACTATGAAGAAAGCAGTCTTCTGGGATTTGGCACCGTGTATATGTGGTGTTAACCGACGTTTCGGAGGAACGTATCGCCACCATCTTCAGGGTTGAAGAAGTATAAGTAAATCTGCAAGCGACAACACCGTGAGACATGGTCAAGCAGAAACGTCGGTTAACACCACATATACACGGTGCCAAATCCCAGAAGACTGCTTTCTTCAACACATGAGATTGTCTGTACTGTTCTAAGACTGAACATCTTTTTGAATCGCTAGCCATCTATGTATTCTAGAGCCCTCAGAGAGAATCCCACCCCAGATCTTAGTTGCTCAGTCAAAGACAGAAGAATAGTCCCTCAAATCAGACCCCACCACTTCCTTTGCATTTCTCACTATTCACTGATAATGAATCCATTGCTGAGTGAGTGCTGTAGAGCCAGTCAGTCTAGCTGAGGATAGGGTGCAGAGTGTATCAGCAGAACTAGGTAAAAAGATTGCTGGAATTTTGGAGGACTTTGCTGGCATGAGGAACCCATGAGTTGGGACTGAGAGCAGCCAGCAAGTTTCTGCATCACTAAAGGTTTATTATACTGCCAGGCTAAATATTCCCAAATCACATGACCCTTTCAGGCTGTAGAAGCTCCCATAAGCTCTCAAATTTTCTAGACTCTTGGCTCAAAGAGAATGGAGAGGTTGTCAGTGATATGCGCCGGCTGCCATTTACCACCACATGAAGATTCCTGGTACTAGAGTTTGTGTCGACCCCAGGGCCATAGTGCATCTGGAAGGATTATGTCAATTGAATAATCTATTGACCTCATTTGGAATCAAACCTGCGACCTTCTGATTCATGTATTAATGTTCTCAATTTATTTTTTAATATGACAGGCCTTTTTGTAGTTTACTGTGTGCACAGAAGAAGCTGGACAAAATACACGTTCCTTGTAGGATGTCTGGAAGGAACTTGAGTGATATTTACTGTTCTGATATGGTAATGTACCAGTACAGTCTTCCCCCACTGCAAGCTGTCCATGATGAGCCATACAACTGCAGCCCCTGTTATTGCACAGGACCTCTGGGGGGGGGGCACTGTGCCCTGAAGGTGAGTACCTCTTGTGCTAAATCGGCTGTGACAGTAAACATCTTGAATCAGGAATGTGCTTCAAAGAAATCAGAAATTTTGAGATGAACAGCTGGTGAAGCTGTCTGTATATAATTGTTACTGTATGCTGACAGTGCTGGAGTGGCATTGGTGTATGGAAGCTGTTCCTAGTGAGCAAGTTCCATGCAGTGTCTTTGCCTCTTGAACTCTCCACAATCTGTGAGCGCCTGCTGTTACCTCTAGCGTTCGTGTCAGAATATCTGAAAGCATTGTAGAGATTGTAAATTAATTCATTCAGCATTGCTTGAGGCGAGCAGTGGCACTTTGTGCAGGGAGGGGGCTTGATGTCATTAGTAACAGTTCCAAGTTAAACCGAACTGTGGGGTGCTCAGGCAGATAGAGTGTGGGGTTAACTCACTGAAACCTGATATTCAGGAATGCAGGTAGACATGTCGCTGCCATCATGCAGAGCTAGATTCTTGTTTTATTTATTTATGAATCCATTTTATAGAAATTCATTGACTCTGAAGTTTTTAATTTTAATACACCTGATTGTGATGTATCATGATCCAAATGTGTATAGTCATTCAGTATAAGCATAAGTAATCGTTACACCGTTGTCTCTTTAATTTTATTGTCAAGTCATCCTGCATCTGTGACCTCCATTTTACAGTGATACTCCGTAAGAGAACAGGATTCAGAGAACTATGCATTAATTTGTTTTGATTGCACTAACTACGAGTACTACAGAAAATTCCTGTTCTTCAAATTTTGTTTTTAATTTTCTCTTCTATGGACTGAAAAATCTTTTCTCACATGTGCCTAGTATGGGAATGAGGGTGACAGAGACAGTCATCATCACTAGAATGGTACTAGATGCTAGGTTAAAGATATTTCTGGTATTCATATGCCAGTGCGACATTCAGACACAGGTCTCATGTTCTGTGAGGTTACTTACTACGCAGGACAAAGTGTTCTCCGGTTCGTACAGTATATGCACGTAGGATGAATAATGAATAATGAAATGAAATGGGGCAGGAAATGGTGGTTACTTGATTTTGTATACTTACTGCCCGTGCCTGGTATTTGCCTGATGGATGGTCTGAGGAAAAGCACAAAACCTCTCAGGCATGGTAGCTGCTGTCCTCTGTCTGAGTACATGAGTACCCAGAGGTGTAGATGTGATGATTCCTGTGCAGTGAAACCTGTGGGGAGCAGCAGAGCTGAACGGTAAGCAGAAAACAGTCACACACGTAACTTAACATTCAGAGGAGGGAGCATTAAGTGATGCTGCCCTCAACGAGGGAAGTGGTGTTCATGTTGTTTGTAAGATGTGTGGGTGCAGTAGATCACTGGCTGACAGTGAGGAGGAACTTCATGCCACACTTTGTTACTTGCCAGTATCCATTACACAGAATGTTCTCCCACACTGTAGAGCATCCATGAGAAAGCCTTCTCTTCAGAGTGAGAGCAGACAAACACATTTCCCCGTGTCAAAAGCAGTAACATACTTCTCAGCAGCGTTGTCATGAGTACTGGAGACACACAGGACATGCCCCTAAAACCTCAGTGCAGTGGATGTCATACAGATGATAATATGCGCTAATGTGTTTTGAAGACGGGGGAGCAGCATGTCTATGTCACATCTATGCAGCAGGTCACCCATGGACTGTACAGACATCAGCCAATGAAGATGTCATAACACCAGTCGTGGAATGACAGCCTAGGTGATATATGACAATAATTGTTGTGGTTCCGCATCTGCTACCTGAAGACGTACCTCTAGCTGTAAGACTGAGGTCGTGGTTTTGGCACAGAGGAGTTCCAGGGCACTGGGCATAGAGGCCTTCTTGTTTGTGGGTAGACTTCATGCAGATGTAATAGTGGTCCATGGCAGTATGTTAGGGTTGGGTTGGAGAGGATACCATACCAGACACTGCTTGGAACTCCTTTTGTAACTACTGAGCGGCACATGGGTTGAACATTTGATAGACTGTGCCATTTGACAGTGGAACATATCATGAAAACTAAACGTTAAAGGACACATGTTGTGCAGTCAATACATTTGATGTGCTTTCTTTTTGTTTCACTGTGTAGAGTGGGTTGAGATATACAATTTTTAAAGCCCTGTGTAATTGTTACAGTACATTGACAGTTCAGGAGCTGTATCAGTGAAGGAAAATGTGTGCCTAGTTTGTGGGTGAGCAAGGCTTGTGCAGCGTCTGCCTCTTCAGTTTGCGCCATCTACGAGGAGCCCCCATACCACAGGTACAGTACGTCATCTCATGTTCATTCTTCCAGGCCAGCATCTTTGGTTCTTGTCCAGTAGACATAGCGAAATGTTAATTCTACAGGGCATTGTACCCCTACTCTAGGCAGCTGGACATGTGTAATGGGTGGTGAGGGGAGGAGAGGCTTTCAGGTGATATCAGGCCATTGGCCAGTCAGGAAATAACAGCAATTCCTCCGGTTCAATCCTTGCCACTAGCAAAAGAAAAATAAAACTCGTGCTGTATTGTGTGTACATCACAATAATTTGTTATACCATTTTGCATTGCAGGCACATTCAGCACATTCAGATGTAAACTGGAAACTGAATATAAAAAGCAAGATGCATAAATATGTAAAGCTGTCCCTGTAACAGGCCATGCAGGTCCATAAGGTTGGTTGTGAGACACTGAGGCTCCATATTTTCTGTAAAATCGGATCACAGTTGATGGTGAGTTTGTCAGCCTTACACAGGAGATAGATACACATCAGTCGTAATACAAAAACTGGAGGACAGCTGTGACCTCCAGTAAATCCTGATCAGTTTGTGTAGAAGCCATACACTTTGCTACAGCCAAATATCGCGGTTTCCAAAGCTGGATACAAAAGGCAGACTGCAGATACTTGAAATCTGCAGGTGGTATGATGGCTGCATAATTTAAAGCTGTCCCTGTAACAAGCTGTGAAGGCCCATAGGGATGTGAGAGGTCAAGGCTCTCACCTCTTCTGGACAGTCAGCTCATAGATGGCAGTAAGCATGCCAGCCTTATGTGCCAGCCGCCCTTTTACTCCCCAGGAAAATTCATGGTACTCATTTCTGTTAAGAGGCTGAATTGACCCCAGGGCCATAATTAGGCTGGAAGTATTAGGTCAGTTGAAAAATCCAGTGACCTCATTGGGATTTGATCCTGCGACCTTCCGGCTTGTGGCATAATGCCTCAACCAACTACACTACCGTGTGCCCCACTATATTATACTATTCTAGTGTACAAAACTGTACTACAATGTACCACACTGCTCTGTGCCAGACTATACTAAATTAAGAGATACTGTTTTATGGTCTTCAGCTCATGACAGTAATACCAGAGAAGTGTGAACGCACAGGCGCACATGCATGCATATGTGTCTCAGTGTGCTGTTCTTGCCCTGAATCCTACTCCCCTGGCTTTTGAAACACAGCGGCTCTACGCTTTCCTGCCATTCATACATTTGCAAGCATTTCCTGCTGGCTGCTGAATGCTGATGCTTGAGTGTCACTGAGAGTCTGTAAGCTGAATGAGAATGTGATGATAAGTATTCATAATGTTATGAACTGGGCAACTTGTTTTGTGGCATCCAGAGGCTCCACCATCTTAGAAGCCCCCTGTACATGCACGTCCAGCGCAGACTACAATCGCATTGTGGTTAGTGAAGGGAAGGCACTTTAGTTAGGTTGGAAGGGTGAGCAGCTGCAATGCTGAGTGCCCTGCAAGTCTCTTAATATTGCTGACTGGTGCAGTTGGTGAGATTCCTGTACTAGTGTTCAGGACCATTTAATTTATTTGAATATTCAAATTCTGATTCCCAATTTCTTACAGTTTTTGGTGCTCTTGTTACATAAGAATACAGGGTTATTCAAAAAGAATGAACCGATTTCATGATGCATTGCTTCATGGAATGAGTCAGTGACCATTTGAAAGAGGAGTTATCTAAGTTGTGAATGGCTGCCACAGGGGCGCTGAAGAGTCGTGTCATTCTTCCGGCAACGTTCAGTTGTTCGTTTACCCTGTACTTTAATTTCATAATATCAGTGTTAAATTGTTAGGCCATAGTTCTTCAGTAATGAAGCATTTCCAACCAGGTAGGCTGGTAATATTTGGGTTTTTCAGTGATCCGTATTCAGTTGCTTAGGATGAGTGTGTATTATGAACCGGGAGAGAAGTGGAGGTGAACATTCACACACTTGATTGCTGGGACAGAGAAAATCATGAAAACTCCCTGTCACGATTGCCTGGCTAGGACACAGAAGTAACTCCTTGAAAACCCCTCTTTTATTTAAACATCCTGTAGACTTCTTTATGGTTCAGCTGACCCTTAGGTGGGTACAAGTCTTTTGCTGTACTATTGGGTTTGAGTTAGGCCTTATGCTTTTGTCTGATTCCCCACCCATTACCATTTTCCCCTCCAGTGAAGCAGCTCCCATGCCACTGGAAGGACTGGTTATCATTGCACTGGGCAGTCACCCTTCGGTCTGAGACAGGCCCACATAATGTCACAACAGCTCTTCTTACCAAGAAATACATTTGTCTCTTACAAATCTCTTGAGCTGCATATTGTAATTAGGGGAAGGGGTGAGGGGAAGTTGGCCTCTGTTTCTTGATTCCTGGATTCACTCACAAACACTAAAGCTTTTCTAACTGCACACATTATAACATTCCTAAGCTTGCAGAAGACTGATTGTGCAGGTGCTCTGCAACTAAACAGGTAGGATGTACCATCAGAAGTAAAAGAGTGAAAACAAGGAGAGGTAAACACTCTACAACTTTGTCTCTCATTGGGACTGGCGACAAGACTGTAGCAATGGTATCTGTGTTCCACACTGACAAAACATGAGCAGTTACCACAAAGCAAGGTCTGCAGGTTCAGAAGACGGTTTGTGTTATGGAATGGAACAAATGTATGGGAGGTATTCACAAGAAAGACCAGCTGGTACAGATGTACCCTGTAGAAAGAAGAAAAATGAGTAAGCACTAAATGTGACGGTGCTGAATGCATGGGCAATGTACAGGCAAACTGAAGAAAGAAAAGTGGATCATTTAAAATTAAGAGTTTCTCTAATGCAGGGCTTATTAGTAAATATTCCAGTAGCAAGGCTGGCAGAGTGACTTCCCCAGAAGAACACCCCACAGAACAGTGCGCTGTGGCAACAGATGTTGGAAAAGATGAGAAACACTGTGTCAGTGCCTGAGTTTTAAGTGACCCTGTGTGTGGACGAGTGTTCATACCAAGAAGAATTTGTAACATGATGTTACTTACAGTTTCTCTAGTCATGTTAAAACTTTTCTTAACAAACACATTTTGTTCTGGTTATGTAGTACATAGTGTAAACATTCTGTAGACATTCATCAGTACACTACCAAAATGGGAATAAATCTGATAAAAATATACAGAATTTGTGGCCATTAAAAATCCGATTTTCTAGCTGATATTTACAAAAATTGAATGCCAAGCAGAAAGTCCTCCTGCATCAGGCTCTGGACAGTATTTGACTGCCATCACACTGAAAGGTTAGCCAGCTGAAACAGCTTCCTACACGTGTGCAGTAAGACATCCCTTTATTCTTTGGAATAATGATTCATTGTCAGTTTACTGCCACTGACTGCCTACAAGCATCCAGATAATAATTAGCTGTGCCCGTCTGATGGATAATCTTTATTTATCTGTTTAGCTAATCATCCAACTTGTGAGCTGTTTTGGTGGGCATAGTCTGCTGCAGATTACACACACTTCAACAAATTCATAGTTATGTTACTTGACTGTTTACAAATTAGAGCAGACAAATATCTTGCGGTTCATGAAATAATTATATTTTTGGATCTAGTGTTCGTGTTCATGTCGCATTTGTTCTGTGCTGGACATCATCATATTTCAAATTGACATCTGTATGCTAAGACCTGTGAATAAAAATTGTTGTACTAGAATTACTGGTTTGTTTTGTGGGTTAGTGCTGTAATGACTGAAGAGGTTATTTGGTCTTCAGTTGGATGAGAGTCAGAGAGAATCAGGATAAATAGTTAACAGAGTTTTGTGTCAGTCTTTCATACAGAGATTCATCAAAGTAATTTGGGCTCTCTTACTTGTGGGTGGATGGGTAGACATGAAAATGATACAACCA